AATGTAATTATAGATTATCCAAAATAAATAAGCAATTGATGTCCAAAATAGGAGTGGGAAGAATGAATGTTGGAACATATTTCTTCAGCGTATCAACATCAGGGTTTGCTCCAGAGGATATACCCTTCAATTTTATTTATTCCCTATTTTTTAAACAAACATGAATAAGTCCCACATCAAAAAGAGACTAACATTATTTTAATTGGGGTACATGTGGTCTCAAATGAATCTTTTTACAATTAAGCTATAATCTGCAAAAAAACGTCTTGACCTTTGTCTTTTACCGTTTTAAGAGCAATCTGTCATAGAATGTGATATTATGCAATTCAATACAAAAAGCCTCTGCCCGGAGTTGAACCCAAGTTACTGCATCGTGAGCACGTAGTTTTAACCACTAGACCATCAGTATGCACTGAAAACCCTTCTCTGAAGAACGGAGTCAAACTAGCAAACTTTGCTTCACACGTAAACTTATCAGCCCAGCCGTCTCAATTGTTCAAAGGCGTCCCGATATAAATCCTCGTTTTAGTCTATGTTTTGTCATTAATTATTTGAGAGTCATAATAAGACATTTTTTAGTTCTGCGCCACATGTTATTTTACCACTGAGATTAGTGAGCTGCGCGGAGTTCTGGCAACCCGATCACGGACTTACATGACATGCCTGATTGGCGAAACGGCGGAGGGTAGGACATCAAAATCAAAACAATAACAACTTTTACGGGTCGTAAAACTAATTTTGATACTCAAATATCTCGGCTGAACTACTGTTATCAGTTAAAGACGAAAAGAGCATGATTTAATAACGCCTTTTGAAATATTGGGGCCATTTAATAATGACTTGACACGCAAATATTACATACTGCTACTTTAAAGTGCATGCATGTTCTACAAAAAACATGTGTAAAAAGCTGAATTAAAGCTTGGGTGCTTTGGCCCAACAGAAAGAGTCTTGCAAATGTGAAATGTTGAACAAAACATTTAGTTAGAAAACCTCCTTTGCATACATGCATGAAAGTTGTAATTAAGAATAACTCAAAAAAGTAAATAATTAGTTGTACATGTTGACCTACTAGTGGTGGACACAAACATAACGCAGTTCACCTTTTGCAGCCTTGCTGTTTTGCAGATTTTTGCGTGTGCAATTTTGAGTACTTTTTTACATTGTGCTTTTATTGCATCATAGGTTTACTCAAACAACATCATATACGACAGTTACATTGTACTTAAAGTCAGAAGAAAACTTTGGCGGTTTGCGTGCACCGCTGTGATTAGTTCACAGTCCTCCTGTGACCCTCAGTCCTGCTCCTGCCCCTCTGTTCGCTGCAGCTGCACGACTTTTTAAAGCTGCAGCAGTGCTCAGACCCAGATTGAACCGGTTTGATATCTTCAGGTGGTTAGAAAAGTGTATAAAGTGTATGGTGAGAGTTTTTACAGCCTTAAAACATAAAGTTGCCGCTTCAAGGATATTGCTTATTACGGATTATATTTAGAACATAACCCGCACGATAAACAAGGGACTTCTATAAATGTACACACAGTCCCTTTAAGAACTTTAGTCCTAATGGTTCAGCTGGATTTTGGGATCACATGTCCGACTGTGATGGACATGAAGCATAATTGCTCTTTAGTTCTACCAATTCAGTGAATGCTATAACACAAGAAGCTATTGAAGCAACCGCCCCATTGTAAATCATAATACTTGTGTCACGATCACTTGTGAAGAGGAAACGCGTTGAAAGACACTACTGTCTGATTGCAGACTTTCAAAGTAAATGACTGTACCCTGGGGCGACAAAAGTGGCTAAAATAGTATCACCTTTGAGCAGCTACGGTTACAGCAGACAAGTCCAATACTTCCTCCCACTCCCCACTTCAGTCGGTCGCCCATTGTCTGCAACAATAGAACTTGACGCTCTGAATTGGAGGCTGTGATGGATCACTTTTGAGGTCAGAAGGTTTTGCCGGTGTTCTAGTTTCATCCCAGCCCCATATGTGAACCATGGGGAGGTGTGTAGCCTTATAGAACCATTGTGGGAAATGTTTAGTGACGGACCGCCAGACTGATAACACCCTTTGTTGCTTGATCTACATTAATCTGAGAGAAAAACTCCAACCACAACTTCATATAGATGTTTGACAATGGCGTTTGTGGCATACTGATACGATCTATGAATAATCTACCTATTGTCAAATGAGCTTTACCTGACTCAAAGACTCTTTGTATCATCATCGGACCAACATGAATGTAACTTACCCAGATACACAGCGTGCGCCATGGAGACACAATGACGCTTCTATAATACGTGTATCACTAACTTTATCGCCTGTGGCATTCCTTGCATCATGAGGGATGCCATTCCCACAGAGGAAACAATGGTTATCAGTTTGGATTATAACTTATTCAGGAATGTGAAGAAAGGGCTTCCTGCTCTTTGGCTGATCTGTTTAATTTCAGAGCTTGTCGGCCACCAGTATTTATAACTCATCAACAATCACAACAATATTTGATTGGATTTTTTGTGAAAGACCATTTACATAAACAATTGTGTAAAGTGGCAAACAATTGTGAAATGAAAATCACAGTTGAGTTCATTTGAGTGCAGCCAATTCAATTTAGTTTGATTTTACTTTTGAATAGCTCTAAATAAAACACCAGTCTCGGATTATACAAAGTTGTTGATTTACCGACAGAATCAAACTGTTAGAACATAAGAAATGTAAAAGCATAAAACCTTGGGGAGGCCCATATTTAGAGAGGAATCCTGCAGGCTCACTACTGAGGCTGCAGATCCAGGACCGAGGCTGTAGATCCAGGACCGAGGCTGTAGATCCAGGACCGAGGCTGTAGATCCAGGACTGAGGCTGTAGATCCAGGACCGAGGCTGTAGATCCAGGACTGAGGCTGTAGATCCAGGACTGAGGCTGTAGATCCAGGACTGAGGCTGTAGATCCAGGACTGAGGCTGTAGATCTAGGACTGAGGCTGTAGATCCACTACTGAGGCTGTAGATCCAGGACTGAGGCTGTAGATCCAGGACCGAGGCTGTAGATCCAGGACCGAGGCTGTAGATCCAGGACCGAGGCTGTAGATCCAGGACTGAGGCTGTAGATCCAGGACTGAGGCTGTAGATCCAGGACCGAGGCTGTAGATCCAGGACCGAGGCTGTAGATCCAGGACTGAGGCTGTAGATCCAGGACCGAGGCTGTAGATCCAGGACTGAGGCTGTAGATCCAGGACTGAGGCTGTAGATCCAGGACTGAGGCTGTAGATCCAGGACCGAGGCTGTAGATCCAGGACTGAGGCTGTACAGTATATTCCTCCAATATGTTGAGACTAGAATATTGTTCCAAAGTTCTGTAATTCAACTATACATTAATGCAGAGTGACATTATGCCACATTTGGTGATTACGTATTACAGTCCATTTTCAAAATAATCTAATTTGATTTGGGGATTTTAAAAGCTGTGAGCGAAGGCTTTTTACAACACACTTTGCGTGTCATATATTTGTTTCACATTAGTCAAATTGTAAAAATAATTGGACTTTTGAACAATATTCAACTTTTGAACCGAGTTTTACCAATGTTTCTTCTGTTATGCTACACAAGTACATCAATTTGTACCGTTTAAGAATGTGTTGCTGTATTGCACAATAGTTTGGTGAGGATAAAATTGGACAGTAAAAAAAATCTGCAGTTACGTTGCTCCCAATAAGTCTCTTGTATTTACAGACCACGTAGTAGTAGTGACGTTTTGGGCTGAGGACCTTCATCAGACACTTATTGGGAGCAACATACTGTAGCTGTGCAAATTTGTTTGTGTTTCTTTTGCATTTTTTTAATCCAGCACGCTAGCAGGTGCAGCTCAACTATAACCACAACACTGTGGCAACTACAGGTGCATTGCCTTGTGTTTGGTGATAAGGTGTATTGTATAGTCAGTCCAAAATTATATTTTGTTGCTAGATGGTTAGTACTGTGATGGGAGACCTCTGGGAACACCAGGTGCCACAGTGGGCAGCTGCAAAGTTGCAAACTGCCACTTCAATCACTGAGTCGAATGTGTGTGTATGTGTGTGTGTGTGTGCGTGTGTGTGTGTGTGTGTGAGGGGATGATGGCACATACTGGTTGTGTGGTGAAGCTACACTACTGTAGCCACAGTTGCCCCAGGGCAGTAGCCACTGCTGCAGTAGTAGTTTCCACTCTGTATGGAATGAATAATGTCTTGTGAAGTGAAAAAAAGCGCTATATCAATCTGTTGCATTAAAATCATTATCATTATCAATATTGTCGTCTTCTACAAATGGCATTACATTTATAATAGAGACTATATATTTTTTCAACAAAGTGCAGGTAATTTTCCAGCTCAGATAATATAATGTAAGCCTATTGTCGTTGTAAAAATCGATTAAAACACCACATCGTTCGTGTTTTGTATAAAGTATGACAAATGTAAGTTGCAGAAAGATGCGTGGTTATATATTTGCTTGTCTGTCTGACTCCCAGACTCATAAACATGGTACAGCCACATACATCCTTTCCCATATGCGCTGTAACGGCTGGCAGTAAAAGGGTCAAGGGTCTTAGTTAAAACATCCATTGTTCTCTCTGAAAAGCTTCTCCCAACAGGGCTCCTCGTGCAGGGCTTTGCTTCGCTGAGACAAGAGCAGCATTGCGCGCAGATCAGTTTCGTCTTTGTCAGCTGTGGCGGGGGCGGAGGAAGCGCACAGCTCATTATGATCTTTACAGGCGAAAAAAAAAGTCCATCCGAGATAATAAAACTGTGGTGTGCAGTGCAGAGCCTTCAGTCACAACCTGACCCACAGAGAGGCGGGAGCTCGGGATAGATGTAAGGACGCGCACTGTGGCCATCCATCCATCCATCCATCCATCCATCCATCCATCCAGAGGCGCGCGCACGCATGGACACTGACCCAAACGGGAGGGATATTTCCTAATCGACTTCCTAATCGATTGTTCGCGCGTCCGTCGCTCAAGCATGCTGGTGTCACAGTGGAATAGGTGCTGCGTGGTGTTCGTTCTCGTGGCTTCGCTCAGGACGCACCAGGTGTCAGCCGCGCGACCCAAGGCGAACTCCATCAAGCCAGGACAGCTCTTGGAGACGGCCGCTCCAGCAACCAACCACACCGCCTCTGCGCACGGAGGGATGCCAAGGAAGCACAGCCTGCTGACACACGTGAGTCTAGACCTAGTTTACGTTGTGAAGAGGCATTAAAGGTTGGGTACCTAACTTTCAAATCACAAAAATGCAAATAAATAACTGCACACAATAAAACACATAGTTCATCGCTCTTAATACAGTTCGGTCAATAGTTTTCACATGCGTGCCTTTTTTTAGCCTTTGTCACAGCTATTTTCCAGACTGAAAAGTGAAAAAATAGACAATCTCCCCTGCCTATCTGCCCTAAGCGTTATATAGTGACGCACAGTGTTGTATGAAAAAGATGTGTCCTAAAAGACATTATGTTGTGGTCTCATTTGTTTATAACATTTTACTTTCTCCACTTGGAATATTCATGAAACTAAAAGTTTGGTCCCCCTGCTTTAAACTGTTAAATGTGTCTAAAAAATGTTTTGTCCACATTTGCTTTATATTTGTATGCATCAAATAAGAGGACTTATGCACTTTCATGTTGTATCTTTTTATGTTATTTTGAAACATGGACCATCTTGATTTGTGTCTGAATCAGAAAGTATAGAAGCATAAAACGCCACAAAATTGCCAAAAGCTATACAGCGATATATCTTGTTTAAAAACATGGAGAAAATGTCTGCAAATCCCCCTGAAATTGAATGACATAAAAATATTTTTAGAAAGCTTTGGCATTGCTAAAAGTATTTTGTATTTCCAGGCACTTTATTTTTATTGCACATTTACAACTGTACCAGCTGGCCAAAGTGCCTCACATGCACACAAATTCTGAAAAAGAAGAAATAAGATTGGCTTTACACGTTCATTCAGAGAGGGTTTATTAATTTCCATAGAAAATCTGTTCATTAACTTTACTATACTATACATACTACACTATACCTACTTTACTTACGATACTATACTACACTAACTCACTTACATACCTATACTATACTACACTATAACTACACTTACACTACACTATACTACACTACAACTACACTATACAATACTATACCTATACTATACTTACACTCACACTACAACTAACTAACATCACTATACTATACTACACTATACTAACACACTCATACTAGACTATATGAACTAAACTAATATACACTTTTAAAATCTCATTATGGATTAGGAATTATATTACACTCTGAGCCGCCATTTTCACTGCTCCCATATAAAACCGAAGAAATCTGAGTAAATACCCTGAACATGTTTTGTTTTGATTGGTTGTCATCACTTTTACTAAGTGCAAAAGGTGAATGAATTAGACTTGAAAAAACGATGAAAAGGCAAAATGCGAATCTCAGCTACCTAAACAATGCGTTGCTAAGGAAACTAGCAGCGGCTCTTATCTGGGAGATAAAAACTACTCAAATGTAAAACAATAAAAGATTAAAATAATGACGCAGATCTATCATGAACGTTAAAATATAAAAATGTGGTTTTTATTTGCAGGTAACACGGCCAATCCTCCAGGTAAGAAAGATACAATTATAACTTATACAAGACTATATAAATAGACTCTAATTTGTGTGGTTTTAGGATCAAATATATTCAAAATGTCTGTGGAAGGCGGGAGCAGATGGACTCCCCAAAAGGTTCTAATTTACATCATTTGTTTGTTTAACAATGTAAAACGTTTTTAGATATAAGTTTTTGCCTAATGGAGTTTTTATGTCGTAAAAAAAAACAACAGTTTTTCCTATCGACAAAGCAGGATTAAATTACAAAGATGGGGTGCCAAGATATCTCAAGACCACAGAAATATCCATCCATTTTCCTTCCCCTTAAATCCATTTCTGGGTCGGGGGGTGTCGGCAGTCCGAGCTGCACCAGTCCACGAGCCCCAGCCCCTCACTGATCCCTCCTCAGGTGCTGAGTCCACAGGGGCCTTGATCTTTCAGCAGGGCTTCAGGCAAAGTGGGGTTAATGTACTTGCCCAAGGACACAACGGCAAGCATCATCAGTGGACAACAAGAAACAATAATCCATAAAACCCAACTGCAATAAAAAGTAAAAGTTGCTGTATAGAAAGTGTCCGGATTCCGCGCGAATGGCGATTTAAGGTTAAGCAAAAGACAGACAAATCTTCAGAAATCTGACAGAAAGACTCCGTCGTTCCATAAGCATCCAAAGTCAACCCCACCACAGCCAGTATTTTATCACCACTGAGTAGGAGTGGGAGTAATACACTGTCCGCAACCCGTCCATCAGGGCCTAATAATCAACAATAAAATAAATAATGATATGATAATAATAATAATAATAATACTCATCATAAAACTAAATGATAGGATAAATCATTATTATTGTTACTATTCATATTTTAAGATCTTTTTCCAGTATCTCATATGTGCATAATTAAAACAGGCGCTCTTCCAGGACTAGACCAACGAGACTTGGGATTTTTAATAATGTAAAATAGTGTTTTTAGTTGTTATTGTTTAGCATTTTAGTGTCAGTATAAGCAATATAGACATTGTTTTGGGTGAAAAACAATATCACACAACACATATTATCTTTTAACTGTGTACCCTATGTAATGCGACCACGAGTGCCATATAAATAAAATGTTTTATGTATTAAGATTATTTTCCAAAGTACACAACACAAGCCAAGACACAAACACTCTCTGACCCTACACCCTCTCTCTAACGATTCTACTCTTTAAAATGTTAACTAACCCTGTTTATATAGGCCTCTGCTGTTTTATCTTTGCGTTTCCCTCCTTTCATATCCCTGGGTAACACCATCTCTTCATGTTTTTCCAGATGAAAAATCTTTTGTCGTCTGGTTTTGAGTCCAAGTTTTTTACGGCAATCTCCGAGAGAGAGTGGCGAGTACCATGTGAACTTCTGCGCCGACACCCGCACTGGTACATCCATGATTACATTTCCCGTGCCAGGAACGTTCAACAATGGCCCTCAGTGAACGTGGAAGGAACAGTTTGTCATGTGAGGAGGCCAGAATCACCCACATTCTAACATACATATAAAACAGTCCATTAACCTTGGCCGCTCCGCGGTCGTTATCCCCTCTAAGCTCGGGTCCTCTACCAAGAGGCCTGGGAGCCTAGTGTTCTGCGCAGTATCTTTCAGTTCCTAGCACGCACAATTCAGGAACCCAGATGTCCGAGGTTGGTTCCCAGGGATCCACTGTAACCCTTCTCGCTTCGGGTCACAGCCCCGAGTGCACCGATCACCACCGGGCACTACTGTCACCTTTACCCTCAGCCCCTCTCACTCCTCTCTGAGGACCTTGTACTTTCTCAAGATTTTTCATGTTCCTTTAACAGGAAAAGAGGCGGCGTGAAATGGATGCGTTTTTCCGCCCTTCTGCTGGGATTTTGCTTGTTTTTACCACTCCACGTCTGGAACAGCAGTGGGAATGAAAAGATGAAGATGCCTTTGCCGCAGACCTTCTCAAGATTCAAATTTGCATTTCCTGAGGTTACAAGCGGTGTTTGAGTATGACGCAGGCCATATACCAGCGTTACCCAGAACATCCGCATGAATGAGAAGAACTATCTTTCCCATATCCCCTGTAAAGGCACATAGCTTCCTTCATGTCCTATTTCAAGCGGCGGGCGGCACGGTGGCTGAGTGGATCGCTCTCTCGCCTCTCAGCAAAAGGACTGGGTTCGAATCCTCGGTCGGACCAGTGCCTTTCAGAGTGAGTTTGCATGTTCTCCCCATGTCTGCGTAGGTTTCCTCCGGTACCACGGATTATTCCCCTACCACTAAAAATTATGTCCAATAGTATCGGCATGGCTCTCCTGTCCTGGCCCCACCATCTCTGTGTGGAGTGAGAGACAAATGCCCAAAATTAAACAATTGTAAACCGCTTTGAGACTCAATCTGTAGTAAAATGCGGTATATATCCATAAAATATTTACTTACTTACTTACTTCGCTTGGAATAGCCACGTCCACCAACCACGGCAGTCCTCTGCCCTTTGTCCACCACCACGGACTGTCTCTGCCCTTTGTCCACCACCACGGCTGTCCTCTCCCCCTATGGTCCACCACCACGGCTGTCCCTACCCATTGTCCACCACCACGGCGTCCTCAGCCCTGTTCCACCACCTGGCTGTCCTCTGCCCTTTGTCCACCACCACGGCTGTCCTCTGCCCAATGTCCACCACCACGGCAGTCCTCAGCCCTTTGTCCACCACCACCACGGCTGATCCCCTGGCCCTTTGTCCACCACCACGGCTGTCCTCTGCCCTTTGACCACCACCCACGGCTGTCCTCTGCCCTTTGTACCACCACCACGGCTGTCCTCTGCCCTTTGTCTACCACCACGGCTGTCCCTGCCCTTTTGTCCACCACGGCTGTCCTCTGCCCTTTGTCCCCACCACCGGCTGTCTCCTGCCCTTTGTCCACCACCACGAATACCTGGTTGGTTCATTACCATCGTCGGTCTGTATCTGGAAGTCCACAGATCTTTTGCTTCATTTTCCACCACCATTGGAGGAGTTTCCCACTTAGACCCTGGGTTTCCAGCCACATACTCTGCACAATTTTCTGTACACTATGCAGACCCACTTGGTTAAGGCGTTCCATGAAGGCTTCCCTGCCAGCAAACTTGAACCAGCAGTTATGTGTTGGAGTGTCTCAGGTGCCACTTGCACAACCGACACCTTGGGTCATGGTCTGGTGTGGATATCTGGCCTCTATCGCTCGGGTGCTCAGTGCCTGTTCCTGTGCAGCCATGATGAGTGCCTCTGTGCTGTCCTGTAGGCCAGCCCTTTCTAGCCATTTGAAGGAACATTCTTGAGATCAGCCATTCTTCTGTTAAGCTCCGGTGTACATGCCGTGTAGGGGCTTGTTTCTCAACCATGATGGGCTTCTCCTCAGCACCTCCTCATCTCGCCACTGCCTGAGACATTCACTGAGAACGACATCCGTTTTGCCTTCTCCATGATAAGTTCTGGAGTTTTGGATGTTTCTTCCTGACAGTGGCTCTCACACTCACTAGTCTCGCCTCCTTCATTACGGCTTACGTACAGTCACAGGGGGCAGGAATTGGGATGTTACCCGCCATGCATAGGTAAGGCAGCTTTCGAGT